GTTTTTTGTGGAGAAGAATTCTCTCGGTGTCCACCAGAGGGCGCTGCAGACTCATCTGTCCCGTTGAAGCCCCATTGTGATGCAGCCGGTCGCCACTCCACTCAGCAGCAGTTCAGTCAGTTAGGTTGTGCATTGATGAGTCTAAAGACACCTACAGCTGGGACATTAAGCCATTGTTATACAAAGCCATCACTTTGTTAGCATTGAAAGGGACTTTAGTCACATAGCAAACCAGAGCAATTGAGTGCAGCGGTTCATACTCATTAGATTTTAAATATCACATTGTAGCTTTTTTCATAACAATACGGATTATGTATTGTGAACTGAACTAATGAAGCTGATTGTCAACTGTCCATTTTGTAGCTGGTTTCCATAGATCATGTTAAACAATGCGAGCATTTCATCTCCGGATTATAAACCTATGCGGTTAAATGCTCGTTTCTCGCTGTGGCTGAGACGCTGTCTGCGGACGAGGTGCTAAATTTCCACAGCCTGAGTGACCCGGACAGCGCTGGGACCCACTCCACTCCCCGCGCCCCTCGTGCGCACACGGCCTGCGTCACGTAGGCAAATCGCCGCGGGCCATCTCAGACTCCCGGAAGGGTATTTTAAAGTGAGATAAACCTCTTAATGTAAAAGCGCAAAGTAGCCAAAAAACAAAACCAGGGAACAAAGTGCTGATTACAGTATGTGAATGTAGAACAGTAACTTTACTGAGGTACTGCATGCAGCCCTCGGACTGGTCTCATAGTTACTACAGTATTAATGACGAGACTCGAAGGCGGCCGCACAAAACGTCAAGACAGGACTGGCGACAGTTTTAATACTGTATCCTCTAACGCGGGAGCAGAGTGTAACTCTGAAGTTTGCGTCAATTCTACACGATTTGCAGAGGCCTGTAATTTCTGATAGTCCTGGTGTTTTCCCCGAGTGAAGGCCCGCATGTTGATGCAAACTGTCAGGGGATGTTTTGAAACTTTTTTTTTTTTCATTCTTTGTTATTATTGTTGTAAGTCGACTGTAAAAATAAAAGCCCGTTAAGCCCCCCCAGCGCCAGGTGGTCGGAGACCGGCCGAGGCGGCATGTCCGGGCATGTCGGGTCGTTATTAATATTCCGAGGCTCGGGGTTTATCACACAGATATTACTCGGGCTCCTGGCGACTGCCGCTCCGCCAGGGCCCGTCACCCCCTCCACACCTCCCGGCTGACATTTTCTCTGCTTGCACGATCGTCCTGCTTCGGGACAGTGTTCGCCGCCGGTTATGAATGTTGTTTGGGTCTGTGATAGTTATAGCGTGTAACTCACGCTAACACACGGTAATCGATACCGTTGGTTGCGCAGAAAGACGTCATTAAGAGTTTTGGGAAACAAAACTCAGAGCCTGTTTTCTCCTTTTACTGAGAAAAACACTTGCGGTGTTGACAGAAATATCTACTACTAAACTAAGGAAATGTAAGAGACTGCAGTCGAAGCTGTGATTATTTCTGCCGTGAGTAATCCAGCAGCTCAGTTCTGTTGCTCTGGATGACATATTGCGCTTTATAGACTCGCTCTGTATATACAGACACCCGTGTATGTGTGTTTCTAACGTGTGTCATAATAGTGTATAATAATAACAATCACATTCTATAATTAGGTCACCCAAACACGGAAGCGCATGCGCTCCTGTACAAAAACAGTCGTGTCTGCGGTGTTATGAGGTATCTCACAAAACATTACTGTGTACGACCCCACAATTTCGTGTTTTTTCCTTTTTTTGCTCACCAGCGGAATGCTACAGATGTAGTAAATTTTGTAGTTTCCTTTACCTGACTTCTGTAACCAACTAATCACAAACAGATCAATCGCAAACGCCGCAGCAGGTAACTGAAGTGAGGGAATCGATACCCAGGACCTCCCGGCTGTTGACCGCCTGTGATCAATAATCACGATCTCTCTTAGGCAACACACTTCACCGCATGGCGCTGAGCATAAAATAGGTTAATACAGTAAATAAAACAGAATTATCTACCGGAAATTAATGTAGTGTGCAAGACAGTGTGAAAGTGTTGAGCGACCTGCAGGATCGGATCTGATGGCACTTGTCGCAGCGCGGCGTGATGTTTGTGTTAGGAGAGCGGACCGTTTCCAGCCCTTTGCAGCCTCCTACACTGCAAATAAATCACGTAACCGTATAAATACAGGCACTAATTACATAGTGCTGTGTCATTTTTCTTCTATACTCAATGGTAAGGCGGCTTGAAAGGGGCTTTTTTCCCATGTTTTAAATGCTATGGGGATACAGTGCTCCGGCCAGTCCTCCGCGCGCGGCGGTTTGAAAGCGCGGTGACGCAACACGGGGGCGGGGATAGGCTAATGAGCTCGCGCTTTATACCGGAGTCTCGCGGCCGCGCTTCTGCCAGTGCTCGTGCGCTCGAGGAGGTTTGCACAGCAGGGATATCTTTTAACACATAGTTAGTCTTTCGGAAATGAATCCTCAAACTTGAATTATTTTCATTTTACACCCGGTGTTTTTAAATGAAAGCGGTTGTGCTCTAGAATCGGCGTTTCTTCATCTATTCTGGGGATTCCGCAGAAGCCGGTCCGTGGAGTGGTCTCGACATGCCCCGTGACGCGCCCGTGGGTCAGCGGACAGCGGCTCCCCCGGTGCCGCCGCACAGGGCCCGGCCGGCCCGCCCGGGCGGCGCGCAGGAGCGGCCGCTGAAGTGCGTCCTGCTGGGGGACGGGGCGGTGGGCAAGACCAGCCTGGTGGTCAGCTACACCACCAACGGCTACCCCACGAAATACGTGCCCACGGCCTTCGACGACTTCTCAGGTAAGCGGCGCGTCTCCTCGCTGGCGCTCCGGCTGGCTGCAGCCCCGAGCCGGTACTGAGCCGGGTTCGTGTTGGGCAGACACACGTCCTGCTGCGGGAAACGTGTTGACGTTCAGGAGCCCGAGGAAGAGGAGCTCGGTGAAGCCCAAGCCCCAGGTCTGCTGAGGCACTGTTGCCACTCCGTCACCCCAGAGGTCTGCGGGAAGTGATCGAGTCCTCGAAACCTCCGCGTCTGGCCCGGAACTCGGGCCGGGTTCTGCCCCCCGTCCCGGTTCTGCTCGCGCAGCTCGAACCCAGGGCCGCGCGCACAGCTGGTCAGCTCCACGGGATGCACGGCTCTCGGCGCACTGGGGTGCCCAGCGAGGGGCCGAGGGGTCCGAGAGGGGGTCTGCGCGTCTCTGCAGAGGGAGTACCGGGACAGCAGAAACAAGCCAGCACCCGGGGGCGCGCTTCTCCCCGTTGGCGATGGACAGCTGGGCTGTCGGTACCGGACGGGATGTAAACTGCGCCGGAGCGCGGATTCGCCGGGCGCCGCTGGCGATGCGCGACTCAGGCCAGCCGGTTGCGTGGCGCGGCGCCTCGCTCAGGTCTCCTCCACGCCTCCAAGCCCCTCCGCGATCGCGTCCTCGCACGGCAGCTCGGGAGGAGTTTGCGCGAGCTGGGGTCCAGTCAGGCACCACTGCGCCCCTGATCGACCCACCGGCGACTCCCCTTCCCCGACTCGCACGCGCGCTGCGCAGCAGACCAAACACTAGAACCCCGGTCATTTCCGTTCAGGAAGACGAGTTTTTCTAACTGACAGACACGGGTTTAAAAATAGCACACTTGTCCATTGTCTTCTCCACTGCAGACAGACGCCCTTTCTCTGGGCTGTGTGATAGTCGCAGCGCTGTGCTGTCCAAGAGACACCGCAGTAACAGTCCCATACTGGAGCAGATAGGCAGCGGAGACCTTCACACTGCTGGGTCTTTCACCAGAACCCTGACAGGGTCCAGTCTTGACCCGCCCAGGGCCCTGCAGGTCTTCCACTCCCTTTAGAGAGGCACATCTCCCAGGCTCAGAGAAGAGCATTTATAACAGAGCTTTACACAAAGGGTGGCGGGAGTGTGGAACAATCCAGATGGGCTGAAAGGCTGGTTGGTGACTCCTCTGAGGAGTAAGTGTGGCAGACTGTGGTGGCGGCTCGAGCTCGGGCTGTCTGCTGCGGAGCGTGAGCTGTGGTGAGCGGACCTGTCTGGCCGTGCTGGAGTGTGGACCTGCTGCTGTTCTGGGAGCAGAGCTCCTGCTCGTCGCCAACAGCGTCAGCAGGCTGGTCAGCTTCCAGTGCGGGAGCAGAGGCCGCAGGTCTCCCTCGCAGCTCCTGTCTGTGCTGGGACACAGACCTCACTGCAGACTGGAGGCCCCTCCCTCCCCGCGCCATCGGACGCCAGCGGCTGTGTGGGAGTCGCCCCTCTGCTGCCTGCTGCTGGCCTGCCAGGAGCGCGGGGCTCTGGGATTGGGGGGTGGGGGCTCTGGGACTGGGGGCTCCCCTGGGGGGGTGGGGGCTCTGGGAGGCTGAGCTCAGGTCTGACTCTTCTCCTCTGATTGCAGCGGTGGTGCAGGTGGACGGGACGCCGGTCCAGCTGCAGCTCTGTGACACCGCGGGGCAGGTAAGCAGCACGTCTCTCGCCCGTCTCCCCCCCTGGGGCGACCCCCTCTGCACCCTGCCCGCGCACAGCGCATCGCCCTGGAGCTGCTGGGCCCTTTGTTTCGCGACGGGCGTGCGGTGCTGGGGGAGAGCACAGTTAATACCTGGGCAAACATCCAGAGCTGCAGGAGCCCTGCTCCTTATCACAGCGCAGTGCGTGCGCTCTGCCCTGTTAGTACACACGGGAGCCAGCAAGCCAGAGAGACAAGCTGGGGCAGAGCTGCTGCACATGATAAGCCTGTTCCCTCCTGAAGCCATAAACAATGTTTTCAAGGGAGTGGGAACGGTGTCCTGCAGCAGGGCTGTGTATGCGCTGCGTGCAGAGGGGTCGGATGTGAAATGATATGAGAAGGAAGGTGCTGTTTGGGACAATTACAGTTTGCTTTAAGACCATAAGTGCTGATCTGTGAGGGGGGTGGGGGTGTGTCGAGGTTCCACCCCAGTTAATCTGCGCTGCGCCGAATTCCAGCCCCCCCTCCAGCACACATACTTTAAGCTGTTTGGCTGCAGTGTTTAATCTTCCTCTGTTCATTCGAAAACAAGAGGAAACAGTAGAACAAGACTGCAGGAGACAATGGCACAAGGACGGGTTTTCACGCCAGTCAGTGAGCCCGTTCCGCACGTGTCCCGGCCCGAGGAGCCCGCCCGTGTCCGTGTCCGTGTCCGTGTCCCCGGGCCTCACGGCTGTGTCCCCGGCTCTCCTGCAGGACGAGTTCGACAAGCTGCGGCAGCTGTGCTACCCACGCGCCGACGCCCTGCTGCTGTGCTTCAGCGTGGTCAGCCCGGCCTCCTTCCAGAACGTGTGGGAGAAGTGGGTCCCGGAGATCCGCCGGTGCTGCCCGCTGGCGCCCGTGGTGCTGGTGGGCACCCAGTGCGACCTGCGGCAGGACGTGAAGGTGCTGATCGAGCTGGCGCGGCGGCAGGAGCGGCCCGTGGCCGGGGGGGACGCCCGCGGGCTGGCCGACAAGCTGGGCGCCGTGGCCTACGTGGAGTGCTCGGCGCTGACGCAGAAGAACCTGAAGGAGGTGTTCGACGCCGCCATCGCCGCCGGCCTGCGCTTCTCCGAGCGGCGCGCGCGCAAGGAGCGCCAGGTGCGCAGCACAGCCGACAAGATGAAGACGCTGTCCAAGGCCTGGTGGAAGAAGTACGTCTGCGTGCAGTGACCCCGCGACCCCGCGGCAGGGGGCAGGGGGCAGGGGGCAGGGGCACGACCGTCCTCCCGCAGGGACCTGGGCACCCGGGGGTGGCCCTGTCACCACCGCCCCTCCGTCTCCATCGCGTATTTATTTCACAAAGCTCACACAAATGTTTTTCTCTCTCGGAAAAATGCCCCGGTCATGTCCTGTGGATGATTTTATTTTGTAATCGGAGCTGTGGTGATTTGAAACAGCGGTGCGGGAAATGAGATCTGCGTCTGTCCGTTCTAAAATGCAAATCAGATCGAACCTTCACATTCCTCCGCGGTGTCCCTGCTCCAGCGCTCCCGTCCCTCCCCTGTCCTGTCCTCTTCTGACTCCACCCTCCAACCTCACTGACGGTCACTTCTCGTGTTCACTCCTGAAGAGCACCGTTCAATCTCTGACCCTGTTAGCATAGACTTACAAGCATGTTGACTGTTGCTCAGGACAAGAGACCGAAGGCGTTCTGGACAGATGGACAGATGGGACCACAGTATTGCTCCACACTTCTGTACATACAGCCACTAAAAGAACTACAGGTATTTCACCAGCAATAAATGTGGGTGAGATAGGGAACTGTGAATGATCATGTTGCTTCTCATTTTTAAGAAGCTGTTCCTTTTTTTTTCTTCCTTTGGTGTTTTATAATGTGATGCCATGTGAATGCTGAAGTTGCAGGCAGCCTGGGGCCCATGTGACCCCCCAAAAGGCAGGCAGTGGCCAATCGAAGTGGGGGAATGGATCCGATTGGTCCGTAATGGCCAGAGGAGCCTGTGGCCAAGCCAGTGGACTACACCTGCAGTCACAAGGGTTCTACATGAGGCCCTGGACGGGCCCGGTTTGTCTTCTGCGTTGAGCCGCGGGTCTTACTGGACAATAAGTGATCATGAGGTATTCAGATTGGCTCTTGCCTGCCTGTAGAACAAGTAGAAGCAGCAGCTGGTATGTTGCTCAGTAGCCGGCATCACCTTGGGATGTACCTACCAGTCAGGTGTTCTTTGATGCAATAAATAAAAATCCTGATAAAACTGTCCCCGTGGCCTGATTCTGTCTGGAAGGGGGTGTAGGTGGGCAGGAGGAGGGCTGTGCCTGTGTCTGTGTGCTGCAGGACTGGGCTGACAGATGGCTGTGTCTTACTCTCCTTGCTCTCCTGTCACCAGACCCGGAGTGAGGCTGCTGGGTGTGTGTAAGTACCTGCACGTGAAGGACTATCTATCATACGTTTGCAGAATAGTCCAAAAGCAGTAATGAAAGATTCAATAAAACTGCCTGAGCATGACCAGGCTATTAATGTCCCCCAGGCCTGAAGTGTCAGTCAGAAAGGGCAGTGGCAGGCTGAGGTTGTGCAGGAGAGAGGAGTCAGTCTGCTTCCACCAGGCTGCTGTTGCCACACACAGGCCCGAACAGCAGTGTCCCGCGCCTCTCATGGGTTCTAATGTGCATTTCCCCTCACAACACTGTCAGCGTCCCAGCCTCAGGGGTCCGTGTCCTGGACCTGCCCAGTCTTCTGGAGCTACTGTTCGACCTTCCCCACAGGATCACAGGATAGAGCAATGGATATTTAGACTGCTAAACATTGTCATGATTCCTTACAAGTGTACTAAATGATTTTTGACAGAACATCCATTCATACGAATTCTATACTTTTGACTAAATATCCTAGAATTTTGTTTGTAGTTATATTTGCTTAGCCAGCTTGTCTAGAAGATGAAAACAGTTTGTCAGCATAAACATCTGTTTCTTCCATAAGTGTCCTCTTCCAGCTCAGTGTTTTCTCATGAGATTTTTCCTCCATTTATCAAAACCCTGCTTCTACAGTATTTGCAGACGATACCAAACTGCCTAGTTTGTTTATCGATCCCAGAATCTTGCTGCTGCTTTATCTTTAATCACTTTTTTTTCACCCTACTTTTTCAGACACAGTGTTAATGCAGGGAAAGGACTTTGACCTCAATGCTTCTCCCTGCTCAGTCAGAGGAGGAGCTGTCCTGGTCCTGGGGGGCTGATGTGCCTGCAGGCTTCCTGTGTCTCTTTAAGACTGGGAGACGTAGCTACACTGAGCCAATAATGAGTCGATTTAGATGGATTAGAGCCCAGCTGGAATGAAAACCTGCAGACACACCAGCCCACCAGGAGCAGGACCGGAAAACTGATTTAGGAGGAGTTAAGACTGTCAGGACATGTGAGGACAGGACTCTCTTTTGTTTGGCTGCACTCAACATACGCAACTGGGCTTCCTGCGTGCTCACTGTGTGTAATCTGAAGCCACAAGCCATGTTAATCAAGCATTGTAATGACACCAATTCTTTCAGCAGAACTATGAATCTGTTCTGGGGTTGTGGTGTATTTGTCTCTGTTGTTTCTGCTCCCAAGCTGCTCAGAAGAGCGTTCTGCCAGCCAAGCCAAAACTCCTTACTTTAATTTGACTAAATCATTTTAAGAAAAGGCTCATTTGTTTCAATTTCCATTCTGTTTCCCATTGTTACTTTGGAGCAGTGTTCCTAACAAAGGACTTTTATTGCCTGGATACTTGTTGTGCATCGGTTCCAACTTCTAATCCAGTTCAACTCATTGCCCTGTGCTCCTCAGAAGAGTGTGAATGAAGGAACAGGAGGTGATCTGTGCTTCAGTAGCATTTACTTTTACACCCTGGAGATAACTCTTCTGAAAATCCCCTTGCACAAGGTTCACAGGTCGCTCCGCAGTCTTATCACTCATCAGCTGTCATGTGGAGGCAGTGACCTGTCAGCAGACTGTGCGAGTGAAAGAGACGCTACAGTGCAGTTTATGAAGTTCACTGTGCTCTACTGCTCATTTTAATTCCAGTAAAAGTAAAATATTTTGCCTTAAAACAATGTAGCAAAAAATCAAAATTCACAAATGAAACTATATGTGTAATGCTCATGCCTTTTGGTCTATGAAAAATCACGTTTCTACCACAATGGCAGAAAGACACACTTGTATGATGGAAGAAAGCATCAAGAATCTGTTCTGGGGCTCCAGTCGAAGGGTTTCTCAGTGTGTAAGGAGTCTTGCTGTCTGTCGCCATCGTTTCTGTACAAACTGCACACACAGGTAGTAACACCCAGGTGACTCCCTGCAGGCCGGCGCCCATACAGCTGCTCCAGACTCCGATTAACACCAGGGCACCCCAGCTCCCTGAAACCTGTAAATCACACCATCGTCCCACATATCACACGGCAAGAGGCAGATTAGATCCGACTTTCATGTTTCATTATTTACAAGGTCCCCACCCCTAGACAAACTTCCAGGGCTCTTGCTTATCTCCCAGGTGAAAACAAAGTCCTTTTCATCACAGAACCTTTTATCAAGGTTCGTGTCACGAATGACCTGAAACGTTCTCCAGTGAGCTCACCCGGGCAGGCTGGTTGAATGACACAGGCAGCCAGCACTAGCACCCCAACAATTAAAAACAGGCCACATGGGTCGGTGTGATGGCACTGCTGTGCCCAGAATTTAAATCAAGGGATGTTTTGTTATAATATTATAATATACTAGTATTATATATAATACTAGTATGTATGAATGGCCTCAAACAGCGTATTGTGTACAGTTGTACTCACCATATAACAAAAAAGACTGCTGCTCTGGAGTCAGTCCAGCTCAGGAGTGACCAGAGTTTAAAGGGATGTGCTGCACTGACAGGCTGAAGGAACTGGACCCCTTTGGTCTTGAACAGAGAAGACCAAGTGGACTTCAGAATGAGCAGTGAAGCACGAACCGGATAGCACCTGTGGAAACGAAGGAGAAGTGAAGTTAAAACTTTAAAGAGGAGGTATGTCATTTCATTACACAAAGGGTTGTAGGAGTCTGGAACGTGCCGTTCAGTCCTGTTATTGAAGTTTCTTTGAATAAACAGATGGAGGAGATTGTCGAATCAATGAGCTGCATTGATCTATTAACCACCAAACTAAACCTAGAAACCACATGAGATGATTTGGTTCAGACAAGCCCAATGGCCTTCTTTGCTTTGTGGAAGTTCTCATGTTTAAGAAAGTGGGAAGCAAGTTTTTTCTGCAACCATCTCTGTTGAGGGGCAGAAAGCCCACTATTGTTCTGGAAGATACTGCACTTGTAAAGCAGGAATCCGGGATCTGGTGTTACTCTCCGTTGAGATGGGCTAGAGACTCCAGCTCTGTCTGCGCACAAGCCCAGCATGTAGCACCTTTACTTAGCTACATCATAAATCAGTCTGTCCTGTTTTTACGCTCATGTTGCTGGTGACCAGGGTCACGGAGGACTCAGCTGTTGTCTTGTGACTGTGTCAAGGGAGGCTGTTCACACTGTTCAATCTCGCTGTGTGAAAGCTGCAGGGCAGCAGTCCCGTGCGAGAGGCTCACTGCTCTGTGGAGACCTCAGTGTGCCTTTGGAAAGCCGGTGCTTGATCAGCCCTTATTAATAATGATGAAGCTGTCATCTGATTGGCTGCTGCACTGGGGGGTGCGTTAGGTGTGTTGGCAGGAAGGGCTCTTCTCTTCGCCAGGTTATTGTCTCTCTCCCGCTCTCTCCTCCCTCTGTCTGGGAAGGGTTCAGTGGAAAATCCACAGGTTTGTTTTGCTGGGACTTCCTTTCCATTATTTGCTGTTGACAGCAGGGACTTTGCCCTCCCTCCTCGCCTCTCCAAAAGCTTTGATCTCTGGAACTGGGGAGATAAGCAGGCCCTCACAAAAGCCTGATGTTTTCAAAGGGCTGTCTGAAATTATCCAGGTAGACAAAGGTCTCTGTACTGATTTCCTCCGCCCCCCCTTTCAGACAACACACCCGGCTGCAGTCAGCAGCTCCCTGTCTGTGGCCCTGTTCCATCAGGCGTCCTGTTGCTGTGACAGAGGTAGCCAGCAGATGGATAAACAGCACTGGAAAGCAGCCTCTTCACCTGCTGACCAAGGGGGCGCAGTCTCACACATTGACAAGGGAAGCACATGTGCCAGCTGGAGATCAGCGGAGAAGAAAACAGCCGTCAGGGCTCTGGGCTGTGCAGCGCAGGGTTGTGAGTTCAGACCCTAGGTCAGTGCTGTACCCTTGTGCAAGATGCTTTGCTGCAATTTCTCCAGTAAAAGCTCTGCTGGAAAAATGGACATTTGGGTTTTCTCTTGACTAAGATTGTAAAATAAAGGATTAAAAAACGGACTCAGCTGCACCAGGTGTCCTAATGGAGTCGAGTCTGTCCTGCTGTGGAGCCCTGCAGGTAAGGTAAAGCTAAAGGCCTTCAACTGTATTCAGGATCAGGGACAACAAGGATTTCAGCTTCTGCTTATCTCAGGTGCCCAGCGTCCATCTCCAGATCCACAAGCCCGAGGGGCAAGAGTCATGAATTTTAAAATCACCGCTCAGTCCTTCACAGGAAATGGCAGTTTCACTACTACCTGTGCCCTGTTACTGGGGCCCAGTCTATCCACAGCGGGGAAGCCCAGGCAGAGTGAAATCCTATCAGCAAGTGGAGCAGATGTGCTATAGCATGGGAAATGACAGCGCTGCCTCTCTGCAGGTCAATTAAGACAGGAAATGAGAGGCCTGTGCGCCCGCAGAGAAGACACAGGGGCTGGCACTAGCAGGTCCGCCTGCCCACCGCGCCAGTCTGGCCGCACGGAGAGCACTGCTTATCTTCCTCCGGGGTTTACACGGCACAGCCAGAGCGGTCTTATCAGAGGATGCACACCTGTCCAAGTCAGTACCATTTCCAGTAGTATAATGATTGGATGAACAGCCAATTAATATTCATACCCATAATTCCATCTGTCGGTACATGGCTGTCTGTTCACACAGCCATTTCACCCCTCACCCTTCTGTCTCAGACCTGCTTTCCTGGAGGAACCTGCACAGCAGTCCTGGATCCAACAGCCGTCTTGGTTTCTTCCTCTTTTGCGCAGAGGTTTTAAAACCTGAGACTCATGGATTCAGCACAGACCTGTGTGTGCTCACATCTTGTGACTTTCAAGAGCAGCGCAGCATTTAGCTGTTCTCCATGAAACAGCTTTGCTCAACATACATAAAAAAAAAACAAAGAAAAACCTG